TGACTTGGGAGAAGCAGCTGCTCAAACCCGAATCACTCAATTGTTGGCAATTGGTGGGATCAATGAGAGTAAGGTTTGAGAGGTTTTGATAAATGATGATCAGAGAAGATAATGGTGATGGTGTGGGATCGCAATGATATTGAAATTGGAAATGAAATACTCCCTCCGTTTTTATATACAAGTCGTTTTAAGGGTGTACACGGTTTTTAATTAAAAAAAAAAAAATTGTCTCTCCCACCCAACTTTTTCCCCTGATTTTGCAGGTAGGAAACTATCCCGCTGCATATTTAAATAATTTATATTTGTCTTATTCCATTTCTTTTAGTCTGTTCCTTCGTCTCTTTCTTTTTTTTTACTCTGTTCCATTTCTTCTGATAATTATCGACCTCTGTACAATGATGAAAAGTGAGAAAGGAGACAAGACAAGAAAGCAGCGACTTTTAATTTGAAAAAATACTACACCCTTAAAATAACTTTTATATAAAAATAGAGGGAGTATAAGTTTAAGTAATAAAGTGATATTTTAAAAGTTTATGAGTGAAAAGTATCGTTAAGCCATTATTTGAGTTGAAAAAAAATTGTTTACTCTAAACATAAATTTAATTAAAAAAAAAGGGGGGGGAGCTGAGACATCATACTACTATTGACACATATATATTAATCTAGAATGGAGGCCTCAATTAAAATATTTAAAACACAAAATTAGAGTTGATTGGATCAAAGTTCTGAAAGGAATAGTCAACATTACTTAGAAAACGTGTGGATAAGTCATCTTCTAAATGTATTTTGTCGCATTTGTCGCTTTCATAGAAATATGAAGGAGAAATTTGAGTGGATGCAATGCAAGTCGATTTTCCAACAGATATACCTAATTTTATTGAACTAAATAGTAAATAGACCCATCTATGAAAGTTACGTTGATTTAGCCCTGACATAGTGAGAGTGCATTAATTTGATTTCACAGTTAGAAAATCAATATGATATTGATATATTGATATATACAGCTCAACCCATCAGAAACGCAAGCTTTGTCTGTTTTTATAATATTAACACCGTGCGTTTGATTTATTATTTTGAATAAAATTTTAAGAATAGTATTAGATAATTAGATAAGAGAGTGTTATGAGATAAAATTTAAAAATTTATAAAAAAACCCCAAAGATTTTTTCAACTTGGGAAAATTGATGTATTGATATATACAACTCAACCCAGCAGAAACGCAAGCTTTGTCGTAGTGTTTTTATAATATTAATACTACAATATTTTATTAATATGATATGATAGTGTCTTTATCATTAATTGCCAAACTTTAGAAATTTTGTATTTGTTTTAATATTTTTGCACTATCCTACCTAAAATACATATTTATTTTCCTATTCTAAAAATTTTATTCTATTTTATTTAATTATAAGTTTATTAATTTAACTAAACACCCCTTAAAAAAGTTTAGAAATTGACAAAAATATTCTCACCCACCCACATTTACCAGATTCCGACCACCACCGTCGAAAGATGACCAAAATTTGATATAACAGAGCACTACCGACTGGATTTGACCGGTACTACACCGATTTAGCCTTTTTCTGCCAAATATCTGGTCATTGACGGCAAGATCTTTAACCGTAACTAGTCGTTGACGGCCAAATGCAGTAACATCTGGCCGTGAATCTAGCTGAAAAAAGCTATATCGGCGTACGACAGGCCAGATCCAATTGGCCGTACACCGATACGACGACTTCGACCACCCTTCGGCGATTGTGGCCGACTGTTAGTATTTAATGGATGGGTGAGGATGTTTTTGTTAATTTTCAATGTTTTATTACATGAGTGTTTAGTAAATTAACAAACCTAGAGAGTGTTTCTATTAATTTTTAAATTTTATCTCGTAATAATTACTGAACTCTTACTTTTTCAAAAATCATATCCAAAATACTAAAACAAACTCACAGTTAGCTTTCCAATTCCACATCTTTGAGAGTCTTCATTTCCACAAACATTCTTCCTTTCTTTATTTCTAAATGATTTTATCAATCCAACGACTTAATCAATTATTTGAAGATTTATTTTTTTATAACTGATTTCTTTGACTTTCAATTTTCTATTTAATTTAAAACACAGATAATGTCTTTGTTTTGTTGAAACTTCAATGTCTTAATTATTGAGGTAATTATCTTTTTTATTCAATAATTGAATAATATAATATAAATTCCTCTCCGAAATTAATTCAGTGGTTTCGACAATCATTTATTGTTTGTAGCTAACTTATTTGACGTTCAAAAACTCATATTTAATTTCAGATGTAGATTATGATTTGGTTTGTCCTCTATCTCTGGAATTTGGATGTCTTAATTTAATTTTAAATGATATTATTTTATTATTATTATCATCTTAATTTACATATATTGAAAGTCTCTTAATTTCCTCTTTCTAGATCGTTTTAATTGGGGTCAAATATAAGCATAAATTGACCCAATTATAAACTCTAAAATTAAATTGATAGAAAATCTAACTTGAACTAATAAAACTGTATATTATTTCATTAATTTAATACATCTATATATCTCAATATTTATCTTTTTAAAATTAATTTTTTGATCAATTATAAATTATAAAGTTTTAATTAAAATTTGAAAAATGCAACTATTGTATCTTAATTTGATGCTATTAGCATTTGAGGAATGCAATTTGCGTAATCAAAACGGGATCTCTTATTTAGTATTCATTCTTTGACACTCGTATGTCGCTATTATATATTTCATGAAATTCCAGAAAATCATATCCCAATATATTAATCCTTTAACTTTCGCGTAAGATTTAGTAATCTCATAATGGTTAAATGATGAAAATATCCATAGCAAAATGTAATGTCTCCCTTTCTATTTTACCTTTTCTGCAGACTCTTTTACAATTTACCTGTTCTTCCAACTCATATTATATAAAAATTAATTGCTTTGGGGTTTGGGCCATTTAAAAACTTGACCTTATTTATACAAGTCAGCCACCCCACTCTGTCCGTAATCCATATTCTTCTCCGTGCACTTAATTTGACCGCATAGGCGCATAGTTCGTTCAATGACCCTGACCCGTTAAAAACAAATAGTGAAAGTACACTCCCAGAAGCCACTGATTATATAGGTGCCCAATCGTTGATTTTTTCATGACACAGGACGCCCCTACCCTTTACCTCCGGCCCCAAATTTGAATAATCTAAAAAGGGTTGATTATACTTTTATTAAATAATAATAAAAATAACAATCTGTTCTTTGTATTCTCAACTCAACACGGTTTTCTGTCCTATAAGATTCAATTCAAGTCTACAACAACTACTACACTTTCTGGTAAAAAAAATACAAAAGGTTGAAAGAATCATCCGGAGAATCTGCTAGTTCTGAAAATGTTCTGTTCTAGAATTTGTTAATGGAATTGTATTTGTTGATACGTATTGATGATGTATGTTAACGTTGCCTTGCATACAGTTTCATTTCACAGAACATTTGCTCAAGGGCGAGGACTTGCAGGTTGTATTGGGCTTTTTGAGTCTCTAACCAGACCAATCGGCCCTATCCAAAAGAGTCCAATGTCACTGCTACTTTTTATGTGCGGTATTTCTGATTTCATATGTATGTAAAGTCTTTGTTGTTACTTTTCTTAATTCACTTCTTTTGGGGTCAAATGCAAGCATAAATTTACCCAATTATAAACTCTACAAGTTAATTTGATTTAATCAAATTAACTTTGAAAATCTAACTTCAACTGCTAAAACTATATTTTTAATATATAACAAATGTGGTAAGTAGCTTTAAGGTAATTTGAACTTATGATGTCAATGAAGAGAACAAATTTTCTTGACCACCAGACTAATCTCTTGAGATTTTATTTTTAATTTTTACTCTATGTATTTTTAATCCTTTTTAAGTAATCTTTCTCTCGTACAGATTAATCAATTATAAATTATAAAGTTTTAATTAAAATCTCAAAACCCAAGTGAAGATTTTAACTACTATATCTTAATTTGATGTTATTAGTATTTGAGGAACGTAATTTACGTAATCAAAACAGGATCTTCTATCCTTAAAATAATTACGAAACTCTAGTAATCTAATCCTTAGGGTGCCACATATTATAAGGAGATTGTGACTTTGATATTTGATAACATGATCTCCTATCCTTTGTACCTGTCCCATTGTGGCTAGATAGCAAACCGTAGTTACTGAGGTTAATTATACCCAGAGTCTTGTGCCAAAAACAAAAACAAAAAAAATCTTCGCATTCAAAACCCTATTACCATTCTGTTGTCAACAACAATTAACCTAATCATGCTCCACCCTTAATTTTTTTTTTTTTCCAACAATATATGATTATGAATATAGTAATATTTATCACTGTAAAAGTTACATATAAAGCATGATTGTAAGTTTTGAAAATGTCCTTTTAGTTTGCATTAGTAATATAGTAATATTTGTGTTTAGAGTAGCTTAGTTCATTAAAAAATTAGTATGGTATACAACTTGTGTTATACTTCCAATGGATATATTCCTTATGTGACATGTTTATTGGACGCATCATAAGTCATTTTTAAGGAGAAGAAAAAATATAATTGACATGCATGTACAATAATAATCTCTAATGTTAAAAAATAATAATAATAATAATAATTGAAAGATGGTTACTGTCTAAAGTTACAAAGTGGATAATTCAAAGTGGCTTTGAATTAAAAGACGTTTTTCATTCCAGCCATGGGAGTCTCTCTCATTAATCTAATATGCCAAATCTTGTATGACCAGTGGCATCTTTTATTTGAAGTACGCTTTTGGTTATTTTATAAGATTCTGAGTAGCAAGATGGTAAAGATTATATGGCTTATTGTTTGAAATGTGGATTCTGCAAGCTTTCCCCCTTTTATATGTCTTGTTCCACTGTCAGATTAGAATACCAGAAAAGGTTCAGGTGCCAAAACTTCTTTAATACTTTTTCTACTCTTCAACACTCTACTCTTTTTTGTCTGCTTAAATAGGTATGATGATTCGTTTTTGACATATCTGCCGATGCCGTCGGTTACTCGGTACTTTTTATAGGTCTTTATCTTCATCTTCATCATAACTGAAAGGTAGTTGCACTGACTTGAATGCACGGAACTTTCCAACGTTGTTCAAATGCTCATTCTCCAACCTGATACATTTCAAAAGAGTTTAATCAGATAAATAAAAGAAAGTGAAAAATAGAATTAATGAACTCGCTGCTTCAGGGCTCCTTAATTCACCTGAAGAAACTCCATATGCCTCTACGAATGATTTCAAGGCAGGCTGTAGTTGCAATCAAGGTGTTTCTATGCATGAAATTGAAGTCAAACTTAACCACTGTCTGTATCCATGCGAATCTCAGAAGAACGTTCAATATCTGCAATTTGATGAAAATATGTAAGTTGGGTTAGGAAGAGACTACCAGAATTGATTTCAAAACTGTATTTCTTGTGTTCTTACTACTTACCATGGCAATGAAATATACACTCTTTTCAGGAACAAGGAGCTTGTCTCTCAACCAACGGTTCTTTGAATGGCGGTTAAGAAGCCCCCAGTCAAAAACAAGGTCCCAGTATGTACCAAATATTGCTGCAAGAACTGAGAAAGTCCAGGCCAATACTTCCCAACCCTTTCCCCCGTCAAGACTCAAAGCAGTCCTCATGCAAACCGCTATAATTGTCAGGAAATATTTGATGCCATTGTATCCATGCATTGGATCTTTCTCCTCGAAAAGGCGTCGAAGACACTGAAAATGAAACGGCTACCTTCTTAATTGGTTGATCAAGTTTAATAGAACAAAATAAACTGAAAGCAAAAATTAAGTTGTGTACCTGCAGAAAGCGAGACATGTATGGAATCACTGCAACGATGAAGTTAAAAGTGTTGAATACTGTGCTTTTACTGCAGTAGTTCGTGCGGTGTCTAACGTCTCCCCATCCATAGTAGCAAATGTAGAACTCCAAACTTCTTAGGGCTTGCACCTGAAACAANCTGTATTTCTTGTGTTCTTACTACTTACCATGGCAATGAAATATACACTCTTTTTAGATACAAGGAGCTTGTCTCTCAGCCAACGGTTCTTTGAATGGCGGTTAAGAAGCCCCCAGTCTAAAACAAGGTCCCAATATGTACAAAAGATTGCTGCAAGAACTGAGAAAGTCTAGGCCAATACTTCCCAACCCTTTCCCCCGTCAAGATTCAAAGCAGTTCTCATGCAAACCGCTACAATTGTCAGGAAATATTTGATGCCATTGTATCCGTGCATTGGATCTTTCTCCACGAAAAGGCGGCGAAGACACTGAAAATGAAACGACTACTTTCTTAATTGGCCGATCAAGTTTAATAGAACAAAATAAACTGAAAGCAAAAACTAAGTTGTGTACCTGCAGAAAGCGAGACATGTATGGAATCACAGCAACGATGAAGTCAAAAGTGTTGAATACAGTGCTTTTACTGCAGTAGTTCGTGCGGTGTCTAACGTCTCCCCATCCATAGTAGCAAATGTAGAACTCCAAATTTCTAAGGGCTTGCACCTGAAACAATTCAATGACAGAAACGTTTAATTATTAATTTGAACATTTTAATGGTTGACACATACGCATTTCATAATCCGTTTCAGAAACCTGGCTAGTAAACTGATCTGCCAAGAAGAAATCTGGGAGTGTGACCTGCAGGGGAAAGAATTTCGCAAATAAGTAATCCTGTCCCTTATAGTTAAATTTCTTGATTTTCATTAATAAATCTTACAACTATTACTTTACCTTGTAGAGAGGAGCAGCAATACAGTGGAATAAACATACTAAGAAGAAGAAGCGACTTGAGCGATACAAGATGTTGAATGGAAACAACAATGCAACAAGCAGAACCTGCACACACAAAATAAATAAATAATGTGTGGTGATGTGGCACATACTTTGCCACATCAGCAGATGTTGAAAAGTAAAAAAAACCCAAATATGAGAAGTGACACCGTTTTGAATGGGAGGACCACTTCTATTCTGTTTTCCTTCGTGTCATTTGCTCAACTCAAAGAACACTATTTTTTTCATCTCTTGGTTGATGGTGATGAAAATGAATGGCAAGATCGAGTGTGATTATCATCTCACGGCTGGAAGAAAATATAAATCCAGGTGGAGACTGATTAAAGGGGTTATCTCTTTATAAATTCTTGCTCTTGGGTTTACGAATGGTAGAGGTAAAAACAAGGGAGGCTAGGGTTTAAGGTGTGATTTTTCCTGCTTGTTACATATTGAGGTTAACATATACTCTATAATCAATTAACCTTAGTGATTCAATGAAATCCTTTTTGCCTTGGAGAGTGGATATAGGCCTTGAGCGCCGAACCACTATATACGGTTATGTCTCTCATTTTCGTTGAAGTCTGCTTTGAATCCATTGTTCATTTTCTGTTGTAATTGGTTGTTTATTCTCATCCATATTTAGATTATAGTCTTAACATAATTATATGTAGTTGAGTGTATATTAATTTGTGGAAGTTGAATGAGCAGAAGAGTAAAGAGAAAGTTCGATTATGTTCACCAAAACCAAGATCAAAGGCAGATATTCTGTCAATCCATCGTAATCTTTTGATAGGGGGTCTATCTCCATATCCAGGTTGCCAATCACAGTCAATAGCGCAAGTACCGATATACCAAAACCCACAAGTAGAACTTGTCGATAACCCAACTCTGTTCCTTGCTTGAAACCAAATATGAAGGAATAGTTGACTCGGAACCGCCTCCAGTAATATATATTGGCAGCATACATGAGCATGTGCAGGACAATATACGCAAACAAGCTGCAAAACAATTTGTTTGATAAATACTAATTATATTTTTCATACGTGTAGAACCCTTAAGTTTATTAATTTTATAATACCCCCATAAAAAAGTTTAAAATTAATAAAAATACCCTCACCCACCCATAGTTGCCAGATTCTGGTAACCACCATCGGTGGTAGCCGGAATCTGTCACAACGCCTACAAACGACCAAAACTGGCCGGTTAATTCGGCGTATCTGGCCTTTTCCGGCAATCTAAGTGAATTTTGACGGAAAGGCCGATCGACTCACGTCCGACCAGATCCGACGGGTCTGCGTCGTAACGCTAGATTCCGATGGTAGTGGCAGAAATCGGCACTGGGGTGGTGGAGGTATTTTTATAGATTGGTGTTTGTTAAATTAACAACATAAGAGATTTTTGTTAATTTTTAAATTTAATTCTCATAATAATCACCCTATTCAACTATCCAATATTATTTCTTAAATCTTATCATATCCAAAATAAAAACCGAACGATCCTATCTTCTCCGATTTACTCTTTTTCATTATAGCTTTACTTAATTAAAAAAACAAAATTCCTTTAGGCGTCCAATGATCATGTTCATCACGTGACCGACTTCACTATAACATTACAAAAATTAAATTAAAAAATTGGAAGGGTTTATACGAGGTTTAATAGACAATGGGAGGCTTCCTCTCCTCAACAACGTCAACAACAACCACTCTCAAAACCCTCCTCCTCCTCCTCCTCTCATCTCACCATCATCACTTCCGATTCTCAAAATCCAATCCTCAGCTAACTCCTTAAATCCTAAAATGCACTCCTCTGATAATAACCACCGCTAAACAAAACTCCGGAATCTTCAAATGTTGACTCCCACAAACCTAGAATCTAAACCCCAAAACCCTGATTCCAGATCCCAATCTTCTTCAATTGATACAAAAATAGAAAAAACCCAAGAAGAGAAAGAGAAAGACAGTGATCGATAATGGAGAAGAAATTGAAGGTGAAGGAGCGGAAGAGAGGAGGAGGGAGAGTGTGGATTTTGTCTTTTTGAAGGGTGGTGGTGTGCAAAGAAAGCTTTATAGCGTGGGAGAATTGTGCTTGAAGAATCTGAGAAGACAAGGAAGATGTTGGAGAAGTGCTTTGACGTAACTAGTACTTTGAGGAAGTGTAGGAGGCTCGATGCTTACTACGAGCCCATTTTGCGTGCTGAAAAAGCGGCTCAGGAGGAGGCCGTCAAGGAGTTGGAGAAAGAGAAGGCTGCCGAGGATTCAAAAGATTCCAAAGGAAATGGGGATGTGGGTAGAAATTGAGATGGTTTGATGACTAACTTTCTTTTCTTTATTAAGGAATTAAGTTGTTCCTATATATGATTTTGATATCTAATAGCGGGAATTCAGAAGAATTTGAGGATATAAGATTTCTTGATTATGTTTGTTAAGGATTGGAAAGAAGATTAAAGATGGTTAAGAAATGAGAACTAAAGTAAGTTATTTGCAAATGTTGTCAATGCTTACTTATAATAAGTGGATGATGTTTTTAACTTGGAATCAAGTTATTTTTGTCTTATGATGAAATTCTTGTGTTATTAGATAACTGTTTTTTGCATTTGGTGTTTTAGCTGCTTGTGCATTATTAATTGATTAAGAATCATTATTTAGTGATATGTAACTGGAATCAGTGGCATAATTATGTGGACTATGTAGACTCTCATTCTGGAAGTAATGTATCACTTATGATATTACTTATTTTAATGTTTCACGTTCAATCAAAATCTAAACCGAGAATGTGGACTTTGTTGGGTTGTCCAACATATTGTGTTTGAATATTTATTAATGTTGCTTTGTGGGAAAATGATTTTAAGCTCTCGGGGTTCAGTTGATTTCATTACTTTAAATTCTGCATCTGGTGTTGCTAACCATTTGGTTCTTCTTACAGTCAAGTGTTTTAACAGCATTGTTTTGTTTGTGTCTTTGAGTAGGCTGATTTATTTGCATAATTTTCAAATTTTGACATAGGGTACTCTGTTCTTGTAACTGTACTTTGTTACCCATAGCTTAATAGTCTTTGGCATTTATGAACCCCTGGTGGTATATGCTATAAGTATAGACCATGCTGGTAGAACCAATGGCTTTTAGTATTAAAATTATTTTCTTGAGATAGGGCCTTTTTCATAAATGATGAAATCTTTCGATATTCAAGGAATGTCCATTTCTATAAGTGTTTTTCTTCAAATGAATGTTTAAAATAATGTGGAGCCTTCATGTGGTATGTTTTGTGAAACTTAGGAAAAATGTATGTGCAGGTTTTCACAAGGATTGAATTCCTATGTTGTAATGTTTTATGTTATTTTATTTTCTCTTTATCACTTTCTTGTTTGATGTTGTAGTTTATCATTGAGACACACACACTCACAATTTGTCTCAAAATTGTATTTTTTTTTTTTTTTTATAGGATTCCAAAATTGCATTTCAACCTCTTCTGTAACTTATCACAGTTAATTGTGGCTCCATGTAACTAGGGGGAAGTTGAAATGAAGGGTGAGTTGATTAGTGGGAGATAGATTGACAATGTGTTGCTTCATTGATTATTAGGCCTGAATAAGTTGGAGAAGTAATTTGTCCTCTTTAGAATTTTAGGAAAATCTGGGTTTTTGAGATAGGTGATAGTGCTTATCATACTTATTCATGTTATTAATGTTAGAAAAAAAGTATTACTAATGTTATTGATGTTTACTTTATAATAAGGGATGATAATTTTTTACTTGAGTATCAATATTAATTGGTTATCTGATGATTTGTTGGGTTTTCAAATAATGTTTGATTTAGATCTTGTATTTTTGTTGTTAAGCTATGAATTGCAATGTCAGTGAACACGATTAAGTTTCATTCATTTAGTTTAGGTGGTATGGTACAGTAACCATGGTATATTTTTATGTGCAGTATGTGTGGTTGTCATCCATACAGAACAACTTATTGTATCACTAGTAATAATTGCTTATTTTAGGGTTTTCTTGTTTTAGGCATTATATATACTCAGTAAGGCGTGATATTCAAACAGTAATATACTAATATTCTTGTTCTGATTTGCTTAGTTCATTGACCGATCATCTATTTTTGCAAATTGCTGGTTTTAATGCCATCTCAAATGGCTCTGCTTGCTCTCTATACGTTTTTGCAATCGTTGTTGATATTCCTTTGAAGCAAAATTACGAATTGGAAACAACAGTTTTTAGTGATTTAAATTCCTGTCTAAGATGGGATTATGTATCCTGAATTCAATTGAATCTACCAAACCATACTCAAAATGATATGGTATATGGTTTGTCTATCCTTCCAATGGCATATTCCTTATTGTGACACGTTCTTGGTCGCAGCATAAGCGATTTGTAAGGTGTAGAAAAATATAATTGACATTTCAATAATAATCTTTAATATAAATAGGATAGAAAGATGGATTAATGGATTTTTTATTGTGTAGGTGGTTAAGGTAAATATTATTGTGTAAATTATGTCAAAGAAATGTTTTCTCTCATCTTGGAGTTTCATGATTAATTTGGTTAATTTCCTTGTTGCCTTGTCCAAGAGTTCAAGTAGACCATAGACTCAAGGGCCAGTCAGGGGAGGCTCTCTCTCTCTTTAACAACTAGAACAACAAACCGCTCTCAAAAACTCTCCTTCCCTTCTGGCTCACCGATTTCACAACTCACTCAGTTTACTCATGAAATCCTAAAATGTCGCCTCTAACAAAACCAAAACCCCTCAAGGGAAAGAAATGATCAAATGGAAAATCCTAAAATGTCTTCCTCTAATAAAAATCACAGCCCCTAGAGGGAAAGAAAAGTGATCAATTGGAAAAGAAATTGAAGGTGAAGGTGGGAGGGTGGGGATTTTGCTTGTTTATAAAGGGTGGTGAGTGCAAAGAAAGTTTTTATATAGTGGGAAAATTGCTTGGAGATCTGAAAAAAAGTAGGAAGATGTTCTGGACAAGTTGTTCAGTAACTAGTACTTTGAGGAAGGCACAGGCCCTCAAGGAGAAGGTTACGGATTCAGATGATTTGAAAGCAAATTGAGATGGTTTATGATAATGTTCTTTTTCTTTTTAAAGGAATTATTGCTGTTTATATAATGATTTGATTTTTTTTTTTTTTCCATGGAATCTCGCGAAATCAAATTTCTTGTTTTTTGGTTTACTAAAAAGATGAGAATACAAGTTTTTTGTGTTACTTCATCAATAAATGAATAATGATTTTGGAGTTGAGAATCAATTGTTATTTGGTTAGAAATGACTCAATTGTTTGATTGGATCTTGGTGTTTCAACGCTTATTCATTAATCTATATGGCCATGCTTGTTCAGGGGGGTCGGTGCCAAAACTTCTTTAATTTCTGGTCTTCAAACACTGTACCTTTATGTTATATGGTTCGTTTTACCACTTTTTATTATGTTTAGAGCCCAGGCCCCAGACAGGAGGCAGCCCAAGGAATTCTAAGTTGATCCAATGTCTGTGTCTCTTTGGGGACGTAATTTTCGACACTTGGAGCCAAGTTTAATAATCCAAAAAATTATTCCTATTGATCAAATGTTACTCTTTCATCAACTGACATTACAAGTATAAACAAAAATGATACTAAAAATAACATGAAACTTCTCTTCCACGTAATTTATTGTCAAGAATATCTGCTGACCTTTAGTAACTCGATATTTTACAGGTCTTATCTTCATCTTCGTCATGGTTGAAAGGTAGTGGTACTGACTTGAATGCACGTACTTCCAACATTGTTCAAATGCTCTTCTCAACCTGATAATTACGAAGAGTTTAATCAAATAAATAAAAGAAATGAAATATAGAATTAATGAACTCTCTGCTTCAGGGCATGTGACTGTAAATCTCCTTAATTTACCTGAAGAAATTAAATGCCCCTACGAATGATTTCAAGGCAGCAACAATTGCAATCAAGGTGTTTCTATGCATGAAATCGAAGTCAAACTTTACACAGTCTGTATCCATGCGAATCTCAGAAGAACGTTCAAACTGCAATTTGATGAACATATGTAAGTGGGTTGGAAGAGACTATCGAATTGATTTCAAAAATTAGGAAGAGTAGTATTACTACTCTACTGCGTGACAATCAATCAGTTATTTCTTTACAAGTGCCTGATGCTCTTATTAAATACATAATAGATGAAAGAAAACTTGCCTTTTTGTATAATCAAGGTTCCTTTTGTTTTCTCCCTGTTTTGCAGACTGTTATTGTTTTACTCTTCTGTCCTTTCAACATAATATACCGTTCAAGTCGCTTCTTCTTTCTTAAATCCCTATTTCGTTGCGTTTGTGCCCCACTCTACAAGGTGATTAAAATTCAAATAGTTAAAGTTTCATATACTATACCGTATTTGATGAGCAAGATAACATTTTGATTGTCTTCCCTTTCAGGTTACACTTCCAGACTTTCTCTTGGCAGACAATCTTACCAGTCAGGTGTTACACTATAACCAGACATTTGATTGGGCTCAACAGGTAAATGTTTATAACTTGAATATTTTTTTATACTACCTGTTCTTTCTTGCCAGGTCCAGGCCCTGCGGAGTATAGAGTTGTACGTATGCTACTATGGTTTGGGAGAATATTCCGAGAGACAAAATAAGTGCCATAGTCATGGCATTTATAATGTTTTCTATTTTGTTATTGCTGTTATACCATTCTGGCTCCGCTTTCTCCAGGTATCATCTCATTCTTCTTTTGTTTTCATGTCTGCAACTTTTGATGCAGGGAAGCATTTTCAATAGAAAATGGTGGTGTCATAGATATTATTAGAGGCTCTAGGAAACTATATGTTATTTTCATATGCTTGTTTTGTGTTCCATCATAAATATTTGTCTTCCTTTTCTCTACATCTAAATTCACCTCCTCTAAACCTAAGGAAAAAATATCATCTTTGAAATATGCACTAACATATGGTACATTTAATTTTGCAGTGCCTCCGCAGATTGTGTGAAGAGAAGGATGCAGTGCAAGGATATAATGGTTTGAAATACTTCTTGATAATAATTGCAGTTCTTATCAGAACAGCTTTTGAGCTGAAGAAGGGAACAAACTGGTTAGTGTTTGCATTGATCAGCTCAGCCATTGCAACAGCTATGAGTACATATTGGGATATTGTTGTTGATTGGGGGCTTCTGAGAAGGAGATCAAAGAACCCGTATTTGAGAGATAAACTAGTTATTTCCCACAAGAGTGTCTATTTTGCAGCAGTGGTATTATGCAGTGACTAATCTGAGATTTTCTATATAGTAAGTTATGCAACTGATTTAATTATTTTGTGAAATTTATTACAGGTCCTGAATATATTACTGAGAGTTGCGTGGATGCAGCTAGTTCTAGAATTCAAGTTGCATTCGCTTCATAGAATGACCATAACAACTGTCATTTCCTGCCTTGAAACTATCCGTCGTGGCATTTGGAACTTCTTCAGGTATTTCACCACCTCTGATATTAGGTAAAGCATTTGCTGAGTTTTTTTCTCCTCCTCAACAATGTAGCAATTACGAGATTGTGTCTTCTGCTCCCCACATTATGTTTATGGATATTTCTATCACCATTTCATATGTATATGTAAAGAAAAATGTTACCCTTGCCATAACTCTGAGCTGATATTTCGATAAGAGATCATATCAGAGTATATTATTTTCTAGTTTGTGCTTATACAAGGGTTGCATTCAATCAGGTTGGAGAATGAGCACTTGAACAATGTTGGTAAGTACCGAGCATTCAAGTCAGTTCCACTTCCTTTTTGTTACTACAACGAAGAAGAAGACAAGGATGATTAGCATCACAGTCTCTATTCAATTGAGCATTGAGTTCAATAATGCAAGTGCTATGGCTTTGAGGATCAAATCCAGAATCCACGGGCATATGTACAGGACAAAATTTTCGGAAAGGGTGAGTTCAGGGCAGACACTGATTAGTCACTGCTTTTCAACTTGAAACAGCAGTAACTGCTGCAAACAATTAAATGCAGGTTTTTTTAATTTGTCAGGGGCGTATTTGTAAAATTTTACATTATATTTATCATTTTAAATTAATAAGGGGTAATTGATTTTTTACATGGTATCCGGGTAAGTAACCAGACCTGCACTTCAATTTCAAGTTCCGATTTGAGGAATCTAAGAACCGGAACTGATCGGTTCTTGTTTCGGTTCCCCCAAAAATTACAGCACCACCCCCCCCCCCCCAGGTACATGAAAAGCAAAAATAAAAGCCCTTGATCTCTTTCAAATTCCCAATTAACTTTTTTTAATTTATTATTTAATTAACTAAATAACCGATAAGATATCTTTTTTAAAGAATTCATAACAAAATTATTGATTAAAAAAAATAGAAGTTTATACAATATTAGTTGAATGTCTGAATGTAAAATTATAGACAAATTAATAATCTCAAGTAATGTCTAAAGATTTAATAAATCATTATGGGTGTGTTTGTTTAATTATTTAGAATAGTATTTTTGAAATATTATAAGATGCGTTTGGTTTATTATTTCAAATCTTATTCTCAAAATATTTGTTTGTTTAATTATTTAGGAAATACTATTATATTTTTTAATTACTTTTAGACCCCTTAAGTTTATTAATTTTATAAATACCCCCATAAAAAAGTTTAAAAATTAATAAAAATACCCTCACCCACCCATAGTTGCCAGATTCTGGTAACCACCATCGGTGGTAGCCGGAATCTGTCACAACGGCCTACAAACGACCAAAACTGGCCGGTAATTCGGCGATCTGGCCTTTTCCGGCCAAATCTACAGTGAATTTTGACGGAAAAGGCCAGATCGACTCACGTCCGACCAGATCCGACCGGTCTGCGTCGTAACGCTAGATTCCGATGGTAGTGGCAGAAATCTGGCACTGTGGGTGGGTGGAGGTATTTTTATAGATTGGGATGTTTAGTTAAATTAACAAACATAAGAGATTTTTTTGTTAATTTTTAAATTTAATCTCATAATAATCACCCTATTCAACTATCCAATATTATTTCTTAAATCTTATCATATCCAAAATAAAAAACCGAACGATCCATATCTTCTCCGATTTACTCTTTTTCATTATCAGCTTTACTTAATTTAAAAAACAAAATTCCTTTGGGCGTCCAATGTCACGTGTTCATCACGTGACCGACTTCACATAACATTACAAAAATTAAATTAAAAAATTGGAAGGGTTTATACGAGGTTTAATAGACAATGGGAGGCTTTCTCTCCTCAACAACGTCAACAACAAGCCACTCTCAAAACCCCTCCTCCTCCTCCTCCTCCTCATCATCACCATCATCATCTTCCGATTCTCAAAATCCCAACTCCTCAGCTAACTCCTTAAATCCTAAAATGCCATCCTCTGATAATAACCATCCGCTAAAACAAACTCCGGAATCTTCAAATGTTGACTCCCAACAAACCCTAGAATCTAAACCCCAAAACCCTGATTCCAGATCCCAATCTTCTTCAATTGATACAAAAATAGAAAAAACCCAAGAAGAGAAAGAGAAAGAGACAGTGATCGATAATGGAGAAGAAATTGAAGGTGAAGGAGCGGAAGAAGAGGAGGAGGGAGAGTGTGGATTTTGTCTTTTTATGAAGGGTGGTGGGTGCAAAGAAAGCTTTATAGCGTGGGAGAATTGCGTTGAAGAATCTGAGAAGAACAAGGAAGATGTTGTGGAGAAGTGCTTTGAAGTAACTAGTACTTTGAGGAAGTGTATGGAGGCTCATGCTGATTACTACGAGCCCATTTTGCGTGCTGAAAAAGCGGCTCAGGAGGAGGCCGTCAAGGAGTTGGAGAAAGAGAAGGCTGCCGAGGATTCAAAAGATTCCAAAGGAAATGGGGATGTGGGTAGAAATTGAGATGGTTTGATGACTAACTTTTCTTTTCTTTATTAAAGGAATTAATGTTGTTCCTATATATGATTTTGATATCTAATAGCGGGAATTCAGAAGAATTTGAGGATAATAAGATTTCTTGATTATGTTTTGTTAAGGATTTGGAAAGAAGATTAAAGATGGTTAAGAAATGAGAACTAGAAGTAAGTTATTTGCAAATGTTGTCAATGCTTACTTTATAATAATTGGATGATGTTTTTTAACTTGAGAATCAAGTATTATTTGGTCTTATGATGAAATTCTTGTGTTATTAGATTAACTGTTTGTTTGCATCTTGGTGTTTTAGCTGCTTGTGCCTTTATATAATATTGATTAAGAATCATTATTTAGTGATATGATAACTGGAATCAGTGGCATAATTATGTGGACTATGTATGACTCTCATTCTAGGAATGTAATGTATCACTTATGATATTTACTTATTTTAATGTTTCAACGTTCAATCAAAATCTAAACCGAGGACTGTTGGACTTTGTTGGGTTGTCCAACATATTGTGTTTGAATATTTTATAATGGTTGCTTTGTGGGAAAAATGATTTTAAGCTCTCGGGGTTCAGTTGATTTCCATTACTTTAAATTCTTGCATCATGGTGTTGCATAACCATTTGGTTCTTCTTACGTAATTTTTAACAGCATTGTTTTGTTTTGTGTCTTTGAGTAGGCTGATTTATTTGCATAATTTTTCAAATTTTGACATAGGGTACTCTGTTCTTGTACTCTGTACTTTTGTTACCACATAGCTTAATACGTCTTTGGCATTTTTGAACCCCTGGTGGATATATGCTATAAGTATAGACCATTGCTTTGGTAGATACCAATGGCTTTTAGTGATTAAAATTATTTTCTTGAGATAGGGATCCTTTTTTCATAAATGATGAAATCTGCCGATATTCAAGGAATGTCCATTTCTAATAAGTGTTTTTCTTCAAATGAAATGTTTAAAATAATGTGGAGCCTTCATGTGGTATGTGTTTGTGAAACTCCTAGGAAAAATGTATGTGCAGGTTTTCACAAGGATTGAACTTCCTATGTTGTAATGTTTTATGTTATTTTATTTTTCTCTTTATCACTTTCTTGTTTGACTGTTGTAGTTTATCATTGAGACATCACACCACTCACAATTTGTCTCAAAATTGTATTTTTTTTTTTTAATAGGATTCTCAAAATTGCATTTCAACCCCTTCTGTAACTTATCAAACAGTTAATTGTGGCTCCATGTAACTAGGGGGAAGTTGAAATGAAGGGTTAGATTGATTAGTGTGGGAGATAGATTGATATGTGTTGCTTCATTGATTATTAGGCCTGAATAAGTTGGAGCAAGTAATTTGTCCTCTTTAGAATTTTAGGAAAATCTGGGTTTTTGAGATAGGTGATAGTGCTTATCATACTTATTCATGTTATTAATGTTAGAAAAAAAGTATTACTAATGTTATTGATGTTTACTTTATAATAAGTGGATGATAATTTTTTACTTGAGTATCAATCATTAATTGGTTATCTGATGATTTGTTGGGTTTTCAAATAATTGTTTGATTTAGATCTTAGTATTTTTTGTTGATTAAGCTATGAATTGCAATGTCAGTGAACACGATTAAGTTTCATTCATTTAGTTTAGGTGGTATGGTAACAGTAACCAGTGGTATATTTTTATGTGCAGTATGTGTGGTTGTCATTCATACAGAGCCAAAACTTATTGTATCACTAGTAATAATTGCTTATTTTAGGGTTTTCTTTGTTTAGGCATTTATATATACTTCAGTAGGCGTGATATTCAAACAGTAATATACTAATATTCTTGTTCTGATTTGCTTAGTTCATTTACATGATCATCTTAATTTTTGCAAATTTGCTGGTTTTAAATGCCATCTCAAATGGCTCTGTGCTTGCTCTTTATACGTTTTTGCAATCGTTGTTGATATTCCTTTGAAGCAAAATTATCGAATTGTGAAAGCAACAGTTTTTAGTGATTTAAAATTCCTGTCTAAGATTGGGATTATGTATCCTGAATTCAATTGAATCTACCAAACCATACTCAAAATGAATATGGTATATGGTTTGTCTTATCCTTCCAATGGACATATTCCTTATTGTGACACGTTTCTTGGTCGCAGCATAAGCGATTTGTAAGGTGTAGAAAAAATATAATTGACATTTCAATAATAATCTTTAATATAAATAGGATAAGAAAGATGGATTAATGGATTTTTTTTATCTGTGTAGGTGGTTAAGGTAAATATTATTGTGTATAATTATGTCAAAGAAATGTTTTCTCTCATCTTGGAGTTTCATGATTAATTTGGTTAATTTCCTTGTTGCCTTGTCCAAGAGTTCAAGTAGACCATAAGCTCAAGGGCCAGTCAGGGGAGGCTCTCTCTCTCTCTTTAACAACTAGAACAACAAACAGCTCTCAAAAACTCTCCTTCCCTTCTGGCTCACCGATTTTATAATCCCAACTCACTCAGTTTACTCATGAAATCCTAAAATGTCGTCCTCTAACAAAACCAAAACCCCTCAAGAGGAAAGAAAATGATCAATAATGGAAAATCCTAAAATGTCTTCCTCTAATAAAAATCACAGCCCCCTAGAGGGAAAGAAAAGTGATCAATAATGGAAAAGAAATTGAAGGTGAAGGTGGGAGGGTGGGGATTTTGCTTGTTTATAAAGGGTGGTGAGTGCAAAGAAAGTTTTATATATAGTGGAAAAATTGCATTGAAGATTCTGAAAAAAAGTAGGAAGATGTTCTGGACAAGTTGTTGCAGTAACTAATACTTTGAGGAAGGCACAGGCCCTCAAGGAGAAGGTTACGGATTCAGATGATTTGAAAGCAAATTGAGATGGTTTTATGAATAATGTTCTTTTTCTTTTTTAAAGGAATTATTGCTGTTCCTATACATGATTTTGATTTATTTTTTTTTCCATGGAAATCTGCAGAAATCAAATTTCTTGTTTTTTGGTTTTACTAAAAAGATGAGAACTACAAGTTTTTTGTGTTACTTCATCAATAAATGAATAATGATTTTGGAGTTGAGAATCAATTGTTATTTGGTTAGAAATGACTCAATTGTTTGATTTTGGATCTTGGTGTTTCAACGCTTATGTCATTAATCTAGTATGGCCATGCTTGTATCAGGGACGGTTCAGGTGCCAAAACTTCTTTAATTTCTGGTCTTCAAACACTGTACCTTTTATGTTATGATGGTTCGTTTTACCACTTTTTATTAATGTTTTAGAGCCCAGGCCCCAGACAGGAGGCAGCCCAAGGAATTCTAAGTTGATCCAATGTTTGTGTCTCTTTGGGGCGTAATTTTTGACACTCTGGAGCCAAGATTTAATAAATCCAAAAAAATTTATTTCTATTGATCAAAATGTTACTCTTTCATCATCAACTGACATATACAAGTATAAACAAAAATGATACTAAAAATAACATGAAACTTCTCTTCCACGTAATTTTATTGTCAAGAATATCTGCTGAATCCTTTAGTAACTCGTATATTTTACAGGTCTTTATCTTCATCTTCGTCATGGTTGAAAGGTAGTGGTACTGACTTGAATGCACGGTACTTTCCAACATTGTTCAAATGCTCATTTTCCAACCTGATTAATTACAGAAGAGTTTAATCAAATAAATAAAAGAAATGAAATATAGAATTAATGAACTCTCTGCTTCAGGGCATGTGACTGTAAATCTCCTTAATTTACCTGAAGAAATTCCAAATGCCCCTACGAATGATTTCAAGGCATGCAACAATTGCAATCAAGGTGTTTCTATGCATGAAATCGAAGTCAAACTTTACCACAGTCTGTATCCATGCGAATCTCAGAAGAACGTTCAACAACTGCAATTTGATGAACATATGTAAGTGGGTTAGGAAGAGACTATCAGAATTGATTTCAAAACTGTATTTCTTGTGTTCTTACTACTTACCATGGCAATGAAATATACACTCTTTTTAGATACAAGGAGCTTGTCTCTCAGCCAACGGTTCTTTGAATGGCGGTTAAGAAGCCCCCAGTCTAAAACAAGGTCCCAATATGTACAAAAGATTGCTGCAAGAACTGAGAAAGTCAAGGCCAATACTTCCCAACCCTTTCCCCCGTCAAGATTCAAAGCAGTTCTCATGCAAACCGCTACAATTGTCAGGAAATATTTGATGCCATTGTATCCGTGCATTGGATCTTTCTCCACGAAAAGGCGGCGAAGACACTGAAAATGAAACGACTACTTTCTTAATTGGCCGATCAAGTTTAATAGAACAAAATAAACTGAAAGCAAAAACTAAGTTGTGTACCTGCAGAAAGCGAGACATGTATGGAATCACAGCAACGATGAAGTCAAAAGTGTTGAATACAGTGCTTTTACTGCAGTAGTTCGTGCGGTGTCTAACGTCTCCCCATCCATAGTAGCAAATGTAGAACTCCAAATTTCTAAGGGCTTGCACCTGAAACAATTCAATGACAGAAACGTTTAATTATTAATTTGAACATTTTAATGGTTGACACATATGCATTTCATAATCCGTTTCAGAAACCTGGCTAGTAAACTGATCTGCCAAGAAGAAATCTGGGAGTGTGACCTGCAGGGGAAAGAATTTCTCAAATAAGTAATCCTGTCCCTTATAGTTAAATTTCTTGATTTCATTAATAAATCTTATAACTATTACTTTACCTTGTAGAGAGGAGCAGCAATACAGTGGAATAAACATACTAAGAAGAAGAAGCGACTTGAGCGATAAAAGATGTTGAATGGAAACAACAATGCAACAAGCAGAACCTGGACACGCAAAATAAAAAAATAATGAGATATAGTTGAGTGTATATTAATTTATGAAAGTTGAAGAGAGAAGAGAAGTTCGGTTATATTCACCAAAACCAAGATCAAAGGCAGATATTCTGTCAATCCATCGTAATCTTTTGATAGGGGGTCTATCTCCATATCCAGGTTGCCAATCACAGTCAATAGC